AAAAATAGTGGTGCCTAGGAACTGGCAATTGGTATCTCAATGCATTTCAGCCTGCAGTACTGATTTTCCATTAAAGTTCCATTTTCATAAAGCTGAGGGAACTTAAAGGCAGAGGGGTTTTAGACAATGAAACTGCAGAGTAAGTTAGAAGATGTTTTGAACAAGTTGGGCTCATGACCAATCCCACTCCTCTGCAGAGCTGCAGAATAGGAGAGGGAATCGAGCACAGAGCTGTGGCTAAAGCACTGTGGACAAAGTGAAATCGAGGAGTTGACAAGAGTTAGAAGTTATAAAGTGGAGAAATCAGTTAAAAGATATGGAGGCATCTGCCCTTCTACACGAGGAAGAGAAGTCTGTTCCCACCTGAGAGAAAAGCAATCGGAGAACTTTATTTTTCAATGTAACTCACTTGGTAGCTGAGAACGATGTTAAATAGCTTCTGCTAAGAACAGAAAACCAATGCAGCAGCAGGTCTGGGTAATTTGCATGGGGGAAAAGGTATCTCTGAGTTGGCCAAGGAGGTCTTTGGCCCATTCTGCCAAACTTTTATGCGTCCTGGCATGCTGGGGTGACTGCAGCACTTCCTTGGACCATTACTTTAGAAAGAAAGGACGATGATGTAGTTAACTGCAGATAGCTTAGCCTGACGTCAATGCCCAACAGAATGCCCAAGAAGTTAGCAGGACATTTGGTCAATAAAGAATTAAATATTGGAATCAAATTAAATTATGGCAATCAACGTGGCTTTGCAGGAAACAGCTCTTGTCAAACAAATTTGATTTCATTTTCTGATGAGATAGTAAGTTTAGTTAATCAGAGTGTGCATGTGTGTGTGTGTGTGTGTGTTTGAGCACGGTGCACAGAGGTATCTCAAAGAAATGTGCCTCCACCATGCTGCTTTGGGGTGAGGAGCTGGCAGAATGCAATATCTGTGAAGTATCAGCAAAGCGGATGAAAATCTGAATGAATAAGTGACCTCAAAATGAAGCTGTCAGAACCATCATCACAAGAAGCTTGTGTTTCTGCAGGGATGCCACAGTGGTTGGTTCTAAACTAGAAATTGTGCTGTACAGTTTTCAT